TTCCACCAGGAGGGAACAGTTAGTGAAAAAGTCTGTGAAAGTGATGTTGTGCCTTTTTTAGATGGCACAATAATATATAGTCTCTCTCTCTCTGTATATATATATATATATATATATATATATATGAGTGATTCTGTAATTGCAGGTACATTTGGTGTCCGAAGTCATTATTTTTTTTCAGCTTTTTTCAAATGGTTATATTTTTAATTAGTTTAATACTGTGTCACTCATTGTTATGAATTACAAGATGTTACAGTCCATAACAATATAATATTTTTTGCAAAAAGTGTCTTAAATAGCTGAAAATCATATTTAAAAAAAATTATAACTTTTTTCTTATAAAAATGTGTGTCCGTAAATCTTGCATCAACTCTGTTACCGTACCATATTTTGCCTTTAAATTAGTGGAATTATCTCCCACAACTATGTAAGTTACAGGAAATGATGTCACTTTCCCTCACTGTTAAGATCTGAAGCACTGAAAAGTATATGTACTCTCAATAAGAAAATATTTTAATCTAAAAAGTTCTTACACCAAGAGTTATTTTATAAAGTGTCAAATCTGTTACCACAATATCAAAAGGAAAACAGATTTTTTTCATTGATCACACTTTGTGTTATTTAAAAGTCTTTTAATCATGCTTTCTGTAGTGCCATGTGCTCTTAGCATTTATGCTAGCAAGTGGAGTTTTTGGCAAAAAATAAAGAAAATTGTCAATTCTGTTACCGTCAAACTCTGTTTCCAATGTAGAGTAACAATGCTGACAATGAATTGACAGTCCATCGGATAATTCTGTCACTTTACAATTATGTTACTTAAAGGGTCAACTCTGTTTATGAACTATTTTCACAAAAAACAATAAAATTGTTGTTTAAAATCTACTAAACATTATTGATTTATTTTTGCACCCTTATAATATTTCAACAACATTTGTTTTTTTAATTGGATGTTGTATATAAAAAATTTTCAGATGAAAAATATTTGCTCCAAGTGGACGGTTCTGTGAAGACATAAGTATTATTATTTTTTATTGTAAAGGTATGCATAGGTGAAATATTATCTCAGTTTCAAGTGATGGAATGTAAGGACTGTTTGTCTAATGAAACAAGAAGGATTTTTCCTGTTATGATTTGTTGTTATTTCTACACATTGTCTAATTTGTTCATAATAGTGTTGACAAACAATACCATAAAGACATCTGTTTTTTCATTAAAAGTAAAAAAAGGAAGTAACTTGTGTTTGGCAAGCACTGAATTATTAAAATTAAATATGTTTTCCAATAAATTACTGAAAAAAAATCTGTTAGTGAAAATTTTTTTCCTTAACTTTCTGCAATGCCAAATGGATCTACAATTATAGAATCACCCATATATATATATATATATATGTATGGGTGATTCGCAGGCAGAGCCATTCGCTAAGACCCGCCCCCCTTAGTTACTCTTGCTAATTAAGCTGCAAATTTGCGCATGCACCGATTTCGTGGACGGTGTGAAATGGGCATAAAGCAGAATTTTAATAAAGTTCTAGGAGTGTTGGTTAAAGTCGTTCAATGGGTACTTTCAAAGTACACGCACAGTAGCATAATGCCTTTCATCATAAAGTCTGAATAGGCCTACATTAGGTTGTGTGTGTAGCCTATATATGGAGCATTAGTTGTAAATGCCTCATCCATTAGACACAGTCTAACCACGTTAGGCATGATGAGGATGATGGGAGGGTCCCTGCTGCAGTTTCTTTGTCTCTGTTCATTTCATTCGCTGCCACACCCATATAACATGAACATCATTATGCAGACATAGCATAGCCTACTGTTATTTGTAAAGATCAAATCTTATTGTATTCAACCATAATATCACCTAAAGCCTCTGAAGTGATATCTGCAAGTTTCTCCACTAAAGCAATGCTCTTTTCTTTTGTCCTCTGTATCAAAATAAACATATTTTCTCCATCCTGAACAAACTTAAAATAGTCTATATTCAGTTCAGTTATATATCCATAATGCCAGTGTAACCAAATTAATAAAAAAAAAAGAAGAATATTATAATTATGACAGTTAAACAAAAGCTTAATCTTTTAGAATCTATAACATCATTAGAAATGGGGCCCAAAGAGATTTCTAGCTTTGGCACATTTAACTTAGTGTAAAACCCATTATAATTTTTACTCTTAACAGTAAAAAGAAAAAGAAAATTCTCTCATTATTTACTCACCCTTGTGTTACTCCAGACCTGTATGTCTTTTCTCAGCCGAGCACAATTTTGAAAATTTAATTTATAATATTAACGGAACTGAATGAAGCATTTTAAATATGACAGTGTATGATAGAAGTTAAATTCAATGCAAAAGAACCAAAATTAATCTCTTAAACATCCACTGACCACAGGAGTTGTGGATGATGGTTGATCTGACTTGTTTCAAATGTTGCTCTTTGTTGTGATGAAATTTTCTGCTGCTTTAAATATGATTTGTGCAAACATCTATCTTTTTGAATAACTCAAGCATGAGTAGTTCAGTGACTCACTCATTAAGAGTGAGTGAGTGAATGTTTCATATTTAAGTATTTCATTTCATACTTGCACCCTAAACTTGTCACTGAGACAGTACCATTAATGATTACTTAGTCATTTGTACCCTTAAGATGATACATTTTAGGGGTAAATAAGGTACAAAGATGGCCCTTTGAGGGTAGTGCCCCAGTGACAAAACCGTTGTACCTCTAATATAATTTTTTTTCCTGAGTGCATTATTCTAATTGATTATATTTGAGAATTTGACATATGAGATAACATATTTCGTAATGTTTGTTAATCAACATGTTTTCTACAAAAACATGTAGAACGATATGAACAATTATTTTGCAGACTGAAGCACATACAGTGCTACAATAATTCATACATAGCTTCCACTTTTTTCCTTTGCTCGGTCAATAAAGTCATCATCACTGAAACAGTATGACAAGCATGCCATTTTCTAAAGAAATACTTGGCATCCATAAAATAAGGATTTTTGTATATAACAATTATCATTATTTCTGAGGCAATTAGTGATTGATTCTTATGCAGTTAGTATTACTAAAAGATGGGAATTTTTCAAGGGGTCATGACATTTTATTATTTTAATGTTCCTTTAATTAAAAGTTTTTTTGCACAAAAGTGGAAAAATTATTATTTTTATTTCACTCCATTTGTCCTGACGACAGACTCAAGTGTGTGGACTGTGTCAGAAAGCGAATGTACATGTGTTTACTGTATCCAGTGTAGACAAGGTAGCGGCAGTAATTGTCGCAACGCGACACTCGCATTAAAGGGGTCATACGATGTGATTTAAATTATTCCTTTCTCTTTGAAGTGTTACAAGCAAAGAAGATCTGTAAAGTTGCAAAGACTAAAGATTCAAATCCAAAGAGATATTCTTTATAAAAGTTAAGAGTCAACCACGCCTACCTAAAACGGCTCGTTCTAACACGCCCCCACATGTCTACGTCACTGTGTGGGAATATTTGCATAATGCCACCCAAATGTTCACGCAAAGAAAGAAGGCGTAACTTTTATTCTCGCTGTAGTATTGTTGCTGCCGCCATGTCGTGAAGGCGCTGTGTGTTTCGTTGTAAAAGCAAAACTACTTTGTTTGGCCTTCCAAAAGAGGATGATATCTGCTTCGTCATGCCTGGAGCTGATCCGTGCTGGTCTCTGAGGGAATACAACAACTTTGCGCTGTGGATCGCCGGATCGGCTTTCACCGTGGACGAAGCAGAGTCCAGCCTGGGGTCAGCACATGTGGTTGCCGAAAGCCCACCAGCCACTCCTTTGTCGAATCCGCCGCCCGCCACCGCTCACTCTAGCCCTCCAGCCGCCGCTCACTCTAGCCCGCCGTGTGTTTCGTTGTGAAAGCAAAACTACAGGTGCATCTCAATAAATTAGAATGTCATGGAAAAGTTCATTTATTTCATTAATTCAACTCAAATTGTGAAACTCGTGTATTAAATAAATTCAATGCACACAGACTGAAGTAGTTTAAGTCTTTGGTTCTTTTAATTGGGATGATTTTGGCTCACATTTAACAAAAACCCACCAATTTACTATCTCAACAAATTAGAATATGGAGACATGCCAATCAGCTAATCAACTCAAAACACTGCCAAAGGTTTCCTGAGCCTTCAAAATGGTCTCTCAGTTTGGTTCACTAGGCTACACTCCAGAACAAAGGCCTCCTGTAGCGAATCTATGCGTTTTTGTAAGAAAAATATCCATATTCAAAACGTAAGAATAACTTTAATTTAGAGTTCAGCTTTGCGCATGTGCCGCTCAGAAGTGCGCAGAATGCAGAAGCGCAGGGGAGAATTCAAAACAAAACAATGGTCACTAATTAGAAGTACAAAACTTCTACTTCAAGATTTGTAAAGAAGAATGTCAGAGATATAAGCCAAGAGGAGACTGGTTTTCCTTTGCTAAAGTAAGGAAACTTTGCTTCCTTTTCTCCTGTAAACAAACGTTGGTTTTCACATGCAGTAAAGCTGAACTCATACGTCATCCGCCCGGAACTGCTTCTGTGTACAACTGTTGGCACAAGCTACATTAAAGTGATTATTACATTTGATTTTTCTTACAAAAACGCATCGATTCGCTACAGGAGGCCTTTGTTTACCCCCCAGAGCCGTGTGAGACACTTTTTTTTAATGGATAGGCGATTTTTATTTAACTTCTTTTGGACTGATGCATGCAACACCTGCTGAGTGCCATTAAACAGCTTGAAAGATCAAAGACAATTTTTAATATAACTCCGACTGAATTCGTCTGAAAGAAGAAAGTCATATACACCTAGGATGACTTGAGGGTGAGTAATTTATGGGCTAATTTTCTTTTTTGGGTGAACTAACCCTTTAAGCATAATCGAGTCAGCCATTAGCGATTGGATGCCAGTGAGCGGGGCCTATGGTGAGAAGATGACTCGTTGATGTCTTGCTCTGGAGGCAGTGTTTATGTAAATGTTTGTGCCCCCGTGACTTTCTTTCATTGTCTCTACATAGTTTTAATAATTGTCACTACCTGACACATTTAATTGGAGTTTCTAAGAAAAATCTGTGAGATACTTTAAATTAGCAATAAAAACATTTAACATATGCATGGATTATGTGAAGATTGGGAATGTTTATGATATTCCAATATTTCAAATGTAACAGAATTTCTAATTTGTCTGTGATGTGCTTTTACATCAGTACCACATAAATCAATCAATCAATTTACATACCTGCACAATAACTTTACTAAAAAGTACAAAAAAGTGAAAATAATTATTAGTCATTATAATACCTTGAGTAGCATAAATTGTACCTAAAATTACAAACAATTTCCAATTCATTCATTGTAGTATTAATTATAGTTATATACATTTTTAGGAGACTTCACACAATTAGCATTGTTTTGGTCAAAATTGTGCTTTTAAAAAGATAATAAACTCATTTAAATCATTATTTGATTTGGAAACGGAAATATTTGTCATTCACAAAAGCTTGACATGCAGACTAACTAGTTAAGACCAACTGAAAAACAGGAGGATGTTTTGAAAGTTAGTTTTTCTACATAGTAAATCAAACTGTTTTATTTCCAAAGATCAAGGAAAAACAAAAGGTCAGTTAATTCTTGATGTCCCCTTAAATTTATTCAAAACATGATCAAAACGTGATCTTCCTGATAATGTTTGGGGTTCAGACACACTCTCTCTGTTTAAATCTAGATTAAAGACACATCTCTTTGGCCAAGCTTTCAAATAATGCATCTCATAATCTTGTACTGCAGTTATATCTGATCAAATTCACATTATTATTCTTTAGTTTGGGTTAAACAAATCAATTTTGCTTGGTTGGAACAGCAGCTACGCTAATTATGTCTCTATTTGTTTCTCTGTTTCTGCTGGGATTGACATCCCGTGGTAACTAGGATTGACACAAGCTTCAGTCTGGATCCAGAACACCTGAGAAGAGATGATGCCAACCCCTCAGAGGATCTCAGATGATGCCAACCCTGAAACAACATACAGAACTACCACATTTTGCTATAAGTTTGATTGCATCATATAATAATTGCTGTTAATAGTGTTCCTCATCTGTTTGATTAGGTCTTTAATAGATTTTTCCGTACATTTCTGCCATATGTACATTAACTGACAGTCACCACTGATAAGCTACCACTAAATATTGTAGAAACTTCATTTGTTGTAAAGTTGCTTTGCTATGATTTGTATCGTGAAAAGCGCTGTACAAATAAACTTGAATTGAATTGAATCAAAAGCATATGAATGTTCATTTTAAGGTTTTTATTGAGTTCCTTAAACAAACAAACAAACAAAAAAGCACACAGAATATGCACAATTAGCTTTCGTTGTAACATTTGTCAGCAAATTACACACATATAAGCTAACATATAACATATAAGCTAATTTTTTAAGCTTGTGAAATTATTCAGTCTAAAGGCTACCTGCTATTCATTTTCATTCTGGAGAAGGCATGACAATGAAGGAAATCTAATACTCCTCTCCCTCCTCTTCTCCTTCTCCCTCGACTGAATCTACACCCACCTCCTCATAATCTTTCTCCAGGGCTGCCATGTCTTCTCTAGCCTCAGAGAACTCTCCCTCCTCCATACCTTCACCTACGTACCAGTGCACAAAGGCACGCTTAGCGTACATCAGATCAAACTTATGATCAAGCCTGGCCCAAGCCTCCGCAATAGCAGTGGTGTTGCTAAGCATGCACACTGCTCGCTGCACCTTAGCCAAATCACCTCCAGGTACAACGGTAGGGGGCTGGTAGTTGATACCGACCTTGAAACCAGTTGGACACCAGTCCACAAACTGGATGGAGCGCTTGGTCTTTATGGTGGCAATGGCAGCATTTACATCTTTAGGTACAACATCACCACGGTACAACAGACAGCAAGCCATGTACTTGCCGTGACGTGGGTCACATTTGACCATCTGATTAGATGGCTCAAAGCAAGCATTAGTGATCTCAGACACTGAGAGCTGCTCATGGTAAGCTTTCTCAGCAGAGATCACAGGAGCGTAAGTTGCTAAAGGAAAATGGATGCGTGGATAAGGCACCAAGTTGGTCTGAAACTCAGTTAAGTCAACATTCAAGGCGCCGTCGAACCGTAGGGAGGCAGTAATGGAGGACACGATCTGACCTATCAGCCTGTTAAGGTTGGTGTAAGTGGGACGCTCGATATCAAGGTTTCTACGGCAGATGTCATAGATGGCCTCATTGTCGACCATGAAAGCACAGTCTGAGTGCTCGAGGGTGGTGTGGGTGGTAAGAATGGCATTGTAGGGCTCCACCACAGCAGTAGACACCTGTGGAGCTGGGTAGATGGAGAACTCAAGCTTGGACTTCTTTCCATAATCAACAGAAAGGCGCTCCATCAGTAAAGAGGTGAAACCAGAACCAGTTCCTCCTCCAAAGCTGTGGAACACCAAGAAGCCCTGAAGTCCAGTGCACTGGTCAGCCTATGAAGAGAGGGAATGGAAAGAAACAGTTATCAAGTCTACCATATTTAATATTGCATTAAAACCTAAACAAATGTTGAATGTAAACAGGCTGACTGCGATTACAAGGATGACTTACCAGTTTGCGAACCCTGTCAAGAACCAGATCAATGATCTCTTTGCCAATAGTGTAATGGCCACGAGCGTAGTTGTTAGCTGCATCCTCCTTTCCGGTGATCAGCTGCTCAGGGTGGAAAAGCTGACGGTAAGTTCCGGTGCGAACCTCATCTGAACCGCAAAAAAGAGTGTGGAGAGAATGAAAGCTGTGAAGCTTGTGGATTAACAAAAAGAGACGACTAATCGGGCAATTACTAACCAATCACAGTGGGCTCCAGATCTACAAACACTGCCCTGGGAACATGCTTGCCAGCTCCTGTCTCACTGAAAAAAGTGTTGAAGGAGTCGTCCCCTCCACCAATAGTCTTATCACTGGGCATCTGTCCATCCGGCTGAATCCCATGCTCAAGGCAGTAAAGTTCCCAGCAGGCGTTGCCAATCTGGACACCGGCTTGACCCACATGAATGGAAATACACTCACGCTGTTGTGGAAAAGGAAAATAAATGACTCTGTCATAAACATTTATCCTGAAAATCAGGATAATTACCAGTACTGAGACACAATGAGGCTTTATAAAATGTAATTTTCAAATGATATATTTGATTACACACCATATTTAATTCAAATTCATATTAATTTTCTAACAAACGTAGAAAAGTATGCTTTTGTGTAATGTGTAATTATCCAAGCTAGGCAACAATAGCATGCAATGTGCAAATACCATTATATTTCAAAAACTGCAAAATCAGTTTTTGAGAAATATATAACATAGCTATTTAGCTGTAGCTGTAGCTTTTTAGGCTCTCAAACCAGAAATGTTGTCTTATGAATAATAGACAGCTCATCATGCTTCTCTGACTCCTAACACTACCAACAATAAATTACAAGAACTGTGCAAAACCCTCTGATTAAAGTGCAAAACAGCCAAATAAGATGAACATTATAAGGCAGAAAATTAACAGAGAAATTAAAGTATTCACTTACCATTTTGTCGTTTTTCCCAGCTGCTGCAGACGCTGATATGTGCTGATCTCACTGCACAGAAGATGGAGATGTCGCTATGACAGAGCAAGCTGCAGGAGGGAGTGGCTCAGCTTATGAACAACCAAATACATCTTCTCCAAATACACACTCCAAACAAAATACAGTACAATGCACAGAAACTATAAGATAGATTACAAACATCACACAAAGTGGCATTCGTGTGATATCATTAGACTGAATTAAACCGGCATCCTAAAAATCATTTAAAATTATATTTGAATATTATGTCATTCATGTTGGTTTTTTAAATAAACCTACTTAAGACAATTATTTTAACACATTCAGAACAGACCGATAGTTACACAACAATAGACGCGTTTTAGATGCTTAGAAAATATTTCTAGGGCCAATCTAAACGCACCAGGGCCACCGCCCGTCTCTGCTGCAGTACATGACGTCAGTGCTGCAGACTACCAGAAACTGTTCAACAAGCACCATGTATAGCCTACTGTAGAATGTAAAATAAATCTTTCTGGTTTTGAAAGAGAACTTGAACTGACTGACTCGGTGTCATAGCTATAGCGCTTTTATTTCATTTTTAAAGTGTAGCCTACATAAAATGCGCTCTATAAAGTAATAATTATTTCAAATGATCCCCAGAGATTGTTCATAAATCAACGGCGTGCAGAAAGCCTGAATGAAACAAGTGTAGCCTAGTAGGTCACATACCCTGACGCTCTGTCGCGCTATAAAAGCGGTTCGACTCGAGGATTGCGCGAAGTTACTACATCGACTCTTCGCCGTCGACAACAGTAACGCAGTACAGCAAAATATTGTTTCCAGGTTATTCCAAAGTATACGAAAATGGTGAGTAGCTGACTAGCTGTATTATTACATTTTAGGCTATATTATTTTAAAGAAAGCATATGCTAAATCTTGTGTACATTATAATTATGAGGCAGGTTACAGAGGGAGCACACCTGTGCCATCGCTTTAATAAACTGCATCTGCTCGATATATTCCTGCTGAATATTCTAGTGAATATTGTTGACTCTGCTATTTTGTATCGGGATGTGTGACCGCTTTTCGTCTGTTAGATGCTGATGAACTTATGCTCTTTGTGATTTTCAGTTTTAAACACGGCGATAGGCTACAATATTAAAACACCTATACAATGTATAATAGACAATTGTGGTCAAATAGGCTACGCCTTAAATATATTAGACCTTTTGCGGTCAAATCCATTGATTGTCTTACTTAACAGAGGTTTAATTCACCAGGACATGTATTTATTTATGTTTGGACTAAAACGTTTGGTTTTGTTTAGAACTATCCTTGCTTATAGGAATCGTTTATTGTTTTGTGAAATTTCAACATAAAGGCATAGCAGTGAGTGCACACTGCGGCATATGCAGACAGTCATAATCGCATTAAATGCACTACTCCAAATAAATAATCTACTCTGGCAAGCTAAGCCCAGGAAACATATGCTGTAGCCTATAGAAACAGTATTCAACAGTGCTTTAAACAAATTCAGTTATTCCCATCAGCAAAGAAATTATGTATAAACCCAGAATAATAAGCCTTGGTATGGATTGAATTTATATTGCATAGACTGTAGATTGAAACAGTGCTGCAATTTGGTAAAATGGCTTAAACCCATGTTGCCAGGCAAGAAAAAGGGAACAGCCAGGTGGAGCTTGAGCTTTTCAAATAGGAGAGGAGGAGGCAGGTGGCATCCATGGTTGCTCTTGCCTCTGTGGCCATATTCAGTCTTATACCTAAAGCAAAGAATTGCATGTTATTATGTCAAATTTATTTCAACACCCAATTTACATTGGCAAAGTATGTGCATTTCTATCTTAAAAACACGTAGTAAGTCAAAATGATATAAGGCTGCAACTATTATATAATAAAACTGTTGCTTTTCTTCTTTAAAGCAGTGTGAGTGTATTTCCATTCATGTGGGGCAAGCTATTTTATATCGTCTGGCATTTCACTTTGCATGCCATTGTTGCCTAGCTTGGATAATTACACATCTGAAAATGGTGTTGGTCTCATATTTTTAGAGTTAAGGATATCATAGCACAACTTACAATGTTTACCTAATAACATGTTTTGTTAGACAATTTATATGAATTTGAATTAAATATGGTGTAATCAAATATATCATTTGAAAATTACATTTTATAAAGCTTCATAATCATTTTTAGTCATTTAGTCACTTAGCAGACGCTTTTATCCAAAACAACAAAAGAGCAACAATATATATATACATTGTGTCTCAGTACTGGTAATTATCCTAATTTTCAGGATAAATGTTTATGACAGAGTCATTTATTTTCCTTTTCCACAACAGCGTGAGTGTATTTCCATTCATGTGGGTCAAGCCGGTGTCCAGATTGGCAACGCCTGCTGGGAACTTTACTGCCTTGAGCATGGGATTCAGCCGGATGGACAGATGCCCAGTGATAAGACCATTGGTGGAGGGGATGACTCCTTCAACACTTTTTTCAGTGAGACAGGAGCTGGCAAGCATGTTCCCAGGGCCGTGTTTGTAGATCTGGAACCCACTGTGATTGGTTAGTAATTGCCTGATTACCAGTCTCTTATGGTTAGTCCACGAGCTTCACAGCTTTCATTCTCTCCACACTCTTCAGATGAGGTTCGCACCGGAACTTACCGTCAGCTTTTCCACCCTGAGCAGCTGATCACCGGAAAGGAGGATGCAGCTAACAACTACGCTCGTGGCCATTACACTATTGGCAAAGAGATCATTGATCTGGTTCTTGACAGGGTTCGCAAACTGGTAAGCCATCCTTGTAATCGCAGTCAGCCTATTTACATTCAACATTTGTTTAGGTTTTAACTCAATATTAAATATGGTAGACTTTTTTAGCAACTTATGCTCCTGTGATCTCTGCTGAGAAAGCTTACCATGAGCAGCTCTCAGTGTCTGAGATCACTAATGCTTGCTTTGAGCCATCTAATCAGATGGTCAAATGTGACCCACGTCACGGCAAGTACATGGCTTGCTGTCTGTTATACCGTGGTGATGTTGTACCTAAAGATGTAAATGCTGCCATTGCCACCATAAAGACCAAGCGCTCCATCCAGTTTGTGGACTGGTGTCCAACTGGTTTCAAGGTCGGTATCAACTACCAGCCCCCTACCGTTGTACCTGGAGGTGATTTGGCTAAGGTGCAGCGAGCAGTGTGCATGCTAAGCAACACCACTGCTATTGCGGAGGCTTGGGCCAGGCTTGATCATAAGTTTGATCTGATGTACGCTAAGCGTGCCTTTGTGCACTGGTACGTAGGTGAAGGTATGGAGGAGGGAGAGTTCTCTGAGGCTAGAGAAGACATGGCAGCCCTGGAGAAAGATTATGAGGAGGTGGGTGTAGATTCAGTCGAGGGAGAAGGAGAAGAGGAGGGAGAGGAGTATTAAGATAATTTTTTCTTCTCCAGGTCAGTTACAGCTTTGCATCATTAATCAGTTTTAGTCAGAAATGTAAATGAAATGAGGCGTTAAAGGTGACAAATGACATGTCAAGTGAGTATTCAGCTTGTAAAGAATATGTAGAAAACATTTGTTCTTTAGATCATGTCAATCACATATTTAATGCTGTAGGCAACTGAGATTGAGACATATTTTGTGATTCCTCCAATTAGTGTGTGTAGATCACATTGAGAGGCACTGACCTTACTGACGTCTGCAATAAAGTGATCATTTCAAGACACGAGTTGCGTATGTTTTCACTGACACCCCATTAAAACATTCACTTTATATACACACACACACAAACACACAAAATATATAGACATCTTCATAGACATATGAGAATGTCTATTTTCTTTTCCCCTAATGACATACTGTAGTTAAAGGTGGGGTAAGTGATTTCTGGTAGCCAATGTTGACATTTGAAATCACCAAAACAAACACGCCCCTACCCCAAAAGGGTCTCGCCCCTATTTTGATAGCTCCACCCCACACATACATACGCAACCCAGGCAATGATTAGCTCTGTGAAACAAAGCAAAACCAATGTTACACCGTGTCTACACCGGACGCAAGTGGCGCAGCGCAACACAATACTATGGAACTCATTATAATCAGAGATGCGGTCTACACCAGATATATATACATATCTATGGTCTACACTGGATGTGGCGCGGCGTTACATGACAAATCCCCGACAGAAAACTGCGGCTGCGTTCTATTTATGACTTATTGACACAAATTTCAAATGATTTTCAACGGTCGCTTTGTCGCGTCCAGTGTACTAGACAGACTTTAGCTGTTGCGGCGCAGACACTGTGTTACTCACCTATCGAGAAGAAACAAAGCAACCTCGGCGTCCGATCGCAGGCCTTCCGCTCCTTGAGTTCTCTTCAGCGCTGGAAAGCTGATCCGATATTTACACAGGTCCTACTTCTTGCCTTAAGCCTTTGTTTGTTCTGCAGACGTTTTCCTCTTTTGTTTTTTATCTGCCATCTCTATCTTTCTGTTGCTCGGCTCACTAATGTCCATCCTGTGCACTGAATGCTCTCTCCTCCACATCATGAGTAGACACGCCCCTTACTGCTGATTGGCTACAAGTTTGTTTTGCTAGTCGGCCCGAATCAGTTTTCTAAAGCATTTTTGAAAAATCACTTACCCCACCTTTAAACATTTAACATGAAGTATACCATATTCTAAAATTAATATCACAAAAGAATAAGACAAAATTCATTAGATTCACATTACAAATTGTATTAAGGAATGCATTTACAATATAATACTCCTATAATATCTACTAAACATTAAAATGGTAACGTTTAAATGGTTAGCATTTTAAAAAATAAATCAACTGTCAAATGTAATTTTACTTATGTATTTAAAAAAGTGGGACTGTAAAATGTTATTTTAATATTGGAAAACTACATTTGTCATGATATGGCACTGTAGTACTCCGAATTTTAGTCCAGTATACCTATTTTCCAGTGGCATTGTGTTGAAGCCAGTGCAATGTTGTTCTGTATTCATTTCTATTTTAACCACACTAAACAGCCTCTATAGACACTTTATTTTTCCTTTCATTCTAAAACGTAAATTATGAATTATTTTTAATACAATTTTTTCATAAAAGTTTTTAATAAAGTTTTACACACCTTAATTATGTATTTAAAAACTAAATCAAAGCCAGCTTGTGATGGTATAAAAAATATAATTGCTTGATATAATGATAAAAATATGTTCTAGGAATCAAAACTAGGATTAGTTTTGATTCCTAGAACATATTTTTATATTTGACCGTGTTACCTGATGACATGAATTCCCTCATGTATGGCCATATTTGCAACTCAACTTTAGCACATTCATGAGCTCATTTTATGCATGTCACAGTTGAAGCTCAGAAAGTGTTATTATACAGGTCACAAAATATTAATTTGTTTTAATATGAATTTGTCCCTTGCGATACCAGTAAGTGATGTAAAGAACAGCAATGTTAAAACAGGGGCTAAATAATTCAAACCAAGCTGCATTAAGGGAAAAAAAAAACCTACAACTCAAATATATTATATACTGACATCTCATTACATATTGATCACTTTCAGTATGTCATTAAACAAATAAACTTCAGAAAAGCTTACATTTGTAAACTATTATGCAGGTTCTGAGGGTTGAATAATTTTAATTGAAAAAAATAAAATAATTTACACACGCATACACATATACACACACAGGTGCATCTCAAAAAATTTGAATATAGTGAAAAAGTTAATTTTTTGTCACTTCAAAAAGTTAAACCTCATATTCTAGATTCATTATATGTAAAGTAAAACATTTCAAACGTTTTTGTTTTGTTTTAATTTTGATGATTAGAGCTTACAGCTCATCAAAGTAAAATATCCAGTATCTCAAAATATTTGAATATTTGCTAAGATCAAGTACTTTAAAGTATGTTCATTTATGCACTCAATACTTTAGCACAAACTCTAGCATCAGTGAGGTGTGGCATGGAAGCGATCCGCCTGTGGCACTGCTGAGGCACTATTGAGCCTTCAGCTCGTCTGTATTGTTGGATCGACTGTTTCTCATCTTTCTCTTGAAAATACCCCATAGATTCCATATGGGGGTCAGGCCAGGCATGTTGGCTGGCCAATCAAGCACAGTAATATCATGGTCAGCAAACCACTTGGAAGTGGATTTGGCAATGTGGGCAGGTGCTGTTAAGTCCTGCTGGTAAAATCTCCTGGTAGACGGTGGCATTTACTTTGGACTTGATAAAACACAATGGACCAACACCAGCAGACATCACAGCACCCCAAATCATCACTGACTTCAGAAACTTCACACTGGACTTCAAGCAGCTTGGATTCTGTGCCTCTCCAGTCTTCCTCCAGACCTTGATTTCCAAATGAAATGCAAAATTGATTTTTATCTGAAAAGAGGACTTTGAAGCACTGACCAGGTAAGATGCTTCTGACGTTGTTTCCATTTCAGAAGTGGCTTGGTAACCCTTTTCCTGAAGATGTCTGTGCGTGGTGACTCTTGATGCACTGACTCCAGCTTCAGTCCACTCCTTGTGAAGCTCTACCAAGTGTTTAAATCGGCTTTGCTTGACAGTATTCTCAAGCTTGCGGTCATCCCTGTTACTTGTGCACCTTTTCCTACCCAATTTCTTCTTTCCAGTCAACTTTGCATTTAATATGCTTTGATACAGCACTCTGTGAACAGCCAGCTCTTTCAGTAATAACCTTCTGTGACTTACTCTCTTTGTGGAGGGTGTCAATGCTCGTCTTCTGGACCATTGCCAAGTCAGCAGTCTTACCCATTATTGTGGTTTCAAAGCACAAGAGATACCCTGAATTTATACTGTAGGGATGGTCATTTAATGAAACTCAAATATAACTATTCTAATATTTTGAGATACTGGATTTTTGACTTTCATGAGCTACAAGCTCTAATCATCAAAATAAAAAAACATGTTTTACTTTACATGTAATGAATCTAGAATATACAGTATGAAAGTTTCACTTTTTGAAATAAGTAAAAAAAAAAAAAAACATTCACAATATTCAAATTTTTTGAGCACCTGAATATATATATATATATAAGAATACAATTCTTAAAAAGACCTTATTAGTAGGCAGTTTATGTAACAATCAGTTGTTAGTGGAAATGCAAGCCTTCATCATTGAGCATGTTGATGTTCAGAATACAATTATGATAAAGTGGTTTACATGTCATAAGATTTCATGATAGCAACCCAGGCGAAGAGTTCACTTTTTGAAATAAGTAAAAAAAAAAAAAAACATTCACAATATTCAAATTTTTTGAGCACCTGAATATATATATATATATATATATATATAAGAATACAATTCTTAAAAAGACCTTATTAGTAGGCAGTTTATGTAACAATCAGTTGTTAGTGGAAATGCAAGCCTTCATCATTGAGCATGTTGATGTTCAGAATACAATTATGATAAAGTGCGGTCATCCCTGTTACTTGTGCACCTTTTCCTACCCAATTTCTTCTTTCCAGTCAACTATATGTCATAACAACATGTCATAAGATTTCATGATAGCAACCCAGGCGAAGAGAAAAAAAAGTGCACTTCCATAGTAGTCCTCTACTTTAACGCACTAATTTTGTACTTAATATACGAAAAATGATTCTTAATTCATATTCATGGTGTCCCAAAATATCACATTTGAATACGCTTAGATCTTCTTAAGATTATCTTAAGTAATAGAGAATAATTTTGTAGTATATTAAGTACACAATTAGTGCATGAAGTTTAGGTACATTATTGAAGCAATTTATGTACATTATTGAAGTGCACTTTTTTTTTTCTCCTGGGAATGAATGACAAATCATAAACTTGTTTGTTAGAGTCAGTTTCGACCAAGTGTCCTGATCTTGAACACCAGGAATAATCCATCAAGCCAGTTATGCGCGTAAAATCAAAATAATTTCAAGCACTTTCAAGAACCCAAAAGCTCAAAACAGTTACAAAGCTACAACCCAACCTGCACCAAAGAGAATTCCATCAATTTTGTTTATATGCATTTTACGTTCACGTACAAAGTTCATTTTTGGTCTTTGAAACCCTCACTCACTTTTACCTTTACTCGATGCCACGCATTGCTTAGCACTCCTCGTAAGTTCCAGATTGGAGCGACAGTGTCTGGCTGCATGTTGTAACTACTGTCCACTGCTTTGCACACAATCTCCAGCTCCTGAGCCCTATGAGGAATTGGGACATCTATCTCCCACAGCTTCCAAGCCCAGGCTCTTCCAGGTGGAGGAGGAGGAGCAGGGTGCTGTTCTTGATCACTAGTGCGAAGTTTGGCTACATGCCACGTTTTCCCTCCATCTACCGAGATGTCAACTCTCACAACCTCTCTTCCTCCCCCACTCCACGCATAGCCTTTTACAGTCACCTCCCTATCACTGCGGTCTACTGAGGTTCCCTCTGCTGGGTGAGTGATGGCTGACTGTATGGGGAGCTCCTGGATAGCTGGTGCTGATTTAAAATCCACAGTGTCCCAGTCAGTACCTGGAGAAAAGCCTTTGTAATCATTCTGCTGCCAGTGGCTCTTGCTTTCTTCGTCACTTACAACAATTTTCCCCAACCATTTGACATTGCGGGCTCCAACAACTCCAGGTACAACTACACGGACAGGGTAGCCGTGGTCAGGTGGGAGGTCCTCGCCGTTCATCTCATACGCGAGGAGAACATCACCTTCTTCGCTCACAGCGTT